GTCTTTGTCTAACTTATGCAAATTAGAAACTCTGATCTCTTAGTTACCCTTGAAATCGCATATTTAATTAGTTTCCCTTGACAATGGCGCCAAGATGTCGCCGAAACGTCGGATTTATGTATCGTTAGTTTTTGCCTGTATATGTTTATCTAAATCATTGTTGATTAGAAGTATAATAAACTTGAAAAAAAAAACGAAATTTGTATCTGAAATTATCAGACACTGTCGTGATGCTTATGAGGTTTGTTCTCGATTTTCTATCTCGATTTTCCGTAGTATTGTCTCCAAATTTTCTCTAACAACATTGAAGATCGGTTGACTGAGTTGAAAATGTAGTATTATATGGCACTGATAGTTTCCAATGGTGAGAAGAATGTTAGCTTACTACATTTAGCCATTCTTCATCGTTTATGCAGCACTCAACAATGTTCTGGTCGCTTTCATTTCCCATGGCTTCTCTCACTTTATTTATCTGGAAAAATGTAAATAAAGAACAATTTGAGCCATTATTAAGCGTAAAGCCAGCTAAAGATCGGGTCACAAAAACTTCCCCACTTCATCAATACTGCAATAAGCGGCTCGTGATAAATGGCTACCGAAATTGTATAGGGCGGTAGTGAATCGTAACGTTTTATGGGCAGTTCAGGAAAATTTTAATACGTTTTTCACAATCAAGACTTGAAATAGGAAGTCGTGGTACAAGCTATGAAAAAAAATAGACCTCAAGAAAATTAGCTGGAAGACGAGTGGTGGAACCCAAAGTTTTCTTCTAGAAAAATCTCGGAAGGATAATTTTACATGCTGGTGATGGCAATTTAAGTACAATTTAAGACAAGCTTCTTTTTTTGAACCATAAAATATCACTCTTAGCTGAAGGGAGTGGAACCCCGCCTTACGGTCACCTACATGTTGTATTTATGGCCAGTTTTTTTTGGTCCCGTCAAAACGTCCATACATTTTCTTATAACATAAAACCCCGTTAATGCGGCCACTCCATGAATATGGCCAACGTCCATATCCCAACCCGTATAATCCTTTTTAGTATCACCCAACTAGTGGACTAATGCAAATCCTGCATTTTGATTGGCTACGCTACTAGAAGACTATTAGTAAGTCCTCGAGTAGCGAAATTGGCGCAATCGAGCGTGACGCTTTCTTTCGCTTTATTCCCATATAAATATTTCTTCAACTTGCATTTGCTAACTTTATGATTGCCTTTTCTGTCCGACTAGTTGGGCGATACTAAAACAATTAGACCCTTCGCCCTCAAGGGCCACGGGTTAAATAATCTTACCCCGTTTATACCGCCACTCAAACCTTACCAGTTATGTTAATCTTTCCAATGCTAATATTTCATACACTGATGCAAGTGTCATTTTTGTTAAAATTATATCCACATTCCGTATCCTTATTAAAGAACAGTTGTTTAGAGGTGCAATTGTGATTTCTCTGTTAAGACGCCACCCAATTTCGACCAGTTGTGAGGTTTCACCCGACCCACATTAATCCGGCCACATTTTCACGGCCCGTTGGTGACCATATGTCGCGGTTACGGCAGACGGCAAAGATTACCTCTGATGTTTTATCCTTTTCTCGTAATCCTTAAATAAATCACACAAAAATAGAAAGATGTCCCCTACTATTCACCGCAAATACAAATATTTTCACTCTATACTGTACAGAAAGCTGAAGAGAGACGGCAAAAGTTTCATTTTTGCCGTTTGCCGTTTGACGCAACGTCATGCTTAATCTCTCTAATAACGAGGTTCCACTGTAATTACTTCATAGCAGGTAGTGCTACCTTTTCAGCACAACTTTGCTTCAGTTGAGAGTTATGATGATGTAGATCATGATATAATGATCCTCGCTCAGCGCAAAAACAGCCAACTGAAAATTCCTGGTAAAAACAACACGAGGAAAGCTTTAGTATTGAATTTAAATATTGGAATAAAATCCTGTGTTGAAGGATTGGTTTTAGATTAATTCTTTCTGTATCAGTACAGTTTTATCATGAATGGAAACGTTTGCTACATGTCATGCGATTATTAATGCTGTACGTTCCAAAGGCAAAAACACTCAAGTTTTATTAAAGATTTTTCTTACTTTTAAATGTACATTCCAAGGGCTGCTCTAGTATTAACTACGATCCAAAATTTGACTAACGTATCCAACTGTGTAAAATCGTATGAAAAATTTAGTTATAAATTAAATAATAGTATCCAAAAAGTGTGACTCACCATTTTTAAAGGGAGCTCTTTTACTCCATTGCAGTCTGCTGAAAAAAACATTATGTGCTGCGTCAAATTCCGTTGTTTTCTCCGGCAGGCCTGCAACAGATGCATGTATAAGTCTTTTAAGAAATCCCACATATTTAACCATTAGTATTATATGCAAAGGAAAAAATCTGCCTCAAATTAAGGGAGATTGGACAACTCTCAACAGCTTATGCCAAAAGTGCAAACACTGCAAAAAATGCCAGCAATGTCTACTTGTACATAGCAACTAGGAGTATTGGGAGGCACCTGGTCAGTCTGGGTTTGAGCACTGGTCAAGATAATTGAGAGTGTGTTGTATTGTGTCTTTGGCAAAAAACTTCCCCCCACGGTCCCTCTCTCCACCCAGGTGTATAAATGGGTACTAGCAAATTTAATGATGGTGGGGGAGTGTAACCCTGCATTGGATCAGCATCCATTAAGGTTGGAAGCAAGAATACTCTTGTCTTAGTCACTTTATGCTATGGAAACCTGATAGGCCACCATGCTTGGCCTATCAGGTTACAAGCCTTTTTTCCTGAAATTTCTATGGATGTGATGCTTACTAAATAGAGGTTCATTGCAAGTTAGTCGTCTGCCTGGTTCCTCCAACATGTTTGCTTAAGTGTTAAATATTCACTGTTACCTTTGAGTGGAAAGATTGATAGAGGTCCTGTGAGAACTCGGTACTAATACTTGAGTAAAATAATCATTAGAGGCTTGAACTCTGGACCTGTAGATTTTAGTCCAGCCACAATAACACTTGGGCCAGGCCTGATCACTCTCTCACTCTCCCTCTGCTTCAGAATTAAGAGAACTTAATGGAGCAGCAGCTCATAGACAGAATTAGATCTGTTAGATCAGACTGTTATCGAACTCATTTATATGGTCATTACTACCATAGTAGCAATCCATATGGAAGGCCTTTAAGTATTTATTGTTACAAAGGTGAGAATCTGCAATGTTTTGCTAGCATGAGCTGCAAAATGATCTGCAATGATTTGCTAGCATGAGCTGCAAAATGATCTGCAACAATCAGCTAACTGAACTGCACATGCAATGCAGTGGAACACAAAGGTGGCCCTGTGAATCCCCTGAGGGCCGCCTCACAGGTCGCATACCGTTGAGGGGCAGCCCGCTGGCTGCATTGGTCTGAATCTAACTTTGTCTAAACAATATTTAGCCACATTTTATTTCGCATATGCATCAGTTCTCTAAGTCAGCCTAAAATTTTGACTTAATATGTAAACTATACTTACAGTAATTGCAATCTGTGCCATTCAAGAATCCACATAAAACATAGTGAAAGTTATTTTTACAGGCAGTTTCCTACAATCTTCACAAAGCCATCTTTAAACACAACTGACCTGACACCTGGCTGCCTCTATCATTGGTTTAATAGCTTCACTTTCAAGAATACTGCAACTTTCTAGCATTTTCTGAAGGACAACAAAACAAAACAAAATAGCAGATGAGTATAAACACAAAAATCTTTCCAACAAAAATTCCCTCTCCAACCCATCAAATTTTCTTTGACAATCAAGAGTGCACTATGACTGTCTCAAACTAATTAAAAAAGGAAATCATACAAAAGTAACCACTGTAACTGCAGTGCAAACATGCTGGTTGTGGTTTAGAAATCATGTTGATCTTAATAAGCATTAAGAATTTTTACATGCAAATTGTTTTCTCCTTAGTTGTAATTTCATTTGGGAAGATACATTTGTAGCTTCGTGTAATCAAAAACTTGACTCGTGTGTTTCATCCGAGTTCCAAACAACTTAAATCAAAGGTCATCAAAACTAGTGTGTCATACCTTACAATTCTCTACTCAGTGTGTGGAAATGAAATTATATATAAATTTAGCCAAGCCTAAAAGCAGAGCTTCTAATATTTGCAATAAGTTAACCATAAAGGAAAAAGAGGATTGTTTTTCTTGGATCAGTTCAATCTCAAAAAATGATCAATTGTGATCATGTACTGTAATTGTTCAGCGAGTGGTTTCACGATTTTTCCCTGTTACATTTTAATAAACTATACCCAATAACCGTACCCAATTTTTCCAAGATTGTAGAAATTACTGGTACATACGCAATATATAAGGGACTTTCCAAGAGACGATTGTGTAAGGGATATGTCAGAAGAAAAGCCAACAATGTGCCAGGGGTTAATTAATTTGCGCCAAATTTTTGCCTTTGTACGTACTCCATCCTTCTCCCCCAGAGTAATAACCTGGCTTGAGCATGCAATCCAATCAAAAACCAATACCTGGTCAGTGGTCAACATCAAAAAAAAATGTGATCTCAATGAGCTATAAACTTGAGCCAGTGATATGGTCTGTCACATGATACTGGTCAGCGAACACTTTGTATAGACAGCTGTCAATTAACCATCACATGGATGTTCAATATCAAAGATGTACCTATGGTAATGCTGCTACTCTTATATTTCAAGGTATGGGGCTTGGCATACGGACGTATGGATGTACAGACAATCACATGGCAACCAAATTTTTTTTAGATTGATGGGTTACCAAATTGGCGCACAGGAGCTCCGCTTAAACACTGTGTCTAGATTTTGTTGACTGTGTATTACTTGCAGAACCCAGGACAAAGTTAATATGGCAGCCAGTTGCAGTTTGAGCCCTTTAAGGTGGCTCAAAGCAGTTTCCAGCTGTTATATTTTGAGAGGTCATTATTACCACTCTTTATCACTTGATGCTACAATCATGGTATCAAATAAGAAATTTAAAAATTTAAAGAAAAAACTGCACATACACTGTACACTATCACTCTTAAAAGAAATGACCTTAAATGTCTTAGAATTACCATATGCTGATGACGCAAAATTTTGACCCAATGTGGCTTAAGCTCTTGTAAGCGACCCCCTCCTGTAAGCGACCACCTAGGCTTCACATTTTGGTTGGTCCCTTACAGGAGGTTTAATAATGATAATGATAATGACAATAATAATGATAAATACTTTATTTATACTGCAAAAAATAGATCAGCTGAATTTAAAAATAATTAGACAGCTGGTATAAACCTATGTGTAGAACGTTTGACAATTGCATCATGCGTTAAATTCCTGACTTTCATAACTATTTACCTTGAATTTATTCCATGTAGTGCTGCCAACAAGATTCTTCTTGCTTTCTATGACTCTTTCAATAGTATCCTTGGCTTCTTCAAAGTAAGGATCTAACAAGGTTGAAGAACAGTATAATTTGAGTGTGTGACTACCACTAACTACATTACATTTTTTTGTGGCTTACATGAAAATATTATAGCCTCTGACAACCTATTAGCAATAAATCTATTTTAAGAAATAAATAATCCAAACTTAAAAGGACTCTGATCCAATTCAAAACTTTAGTTTCTTTGATTCACCATAGTAACTTGAGGGATTAACTTGGTCCATTAAGGACATGCATGATCCAAATCTGCCAATCACAGCATGCACTTTCCACAATTGTATAGTATGCATACTGTACAAGTAAATTATACTGTACTGTACAAGTAAATTATATGGAAAATAAAAAGTTACCTTGTGTGTCTTGTAATAATGATGGAAAATCTGGATCCAAAATACTGCTCAAGAACATTTGCGCAAGTCGTTTATATGCTTCTTCCAATTCTAGCTTGGCAAAGACAGGCTAATAAATTCAAAAGTTGGATCAGTGACATAACAGTGCATAATTAATTATTGCTAGATTAACATAAATTTACATGATTGTCTATTGGTATTGTTATCCCTTTTGTGGGGCAAAAATATATAGTAGTTAAGTACTTGTATAGTTTAATATCAATCAGGCAATATGGCCGTACATGTACAGGATCATGTGTACTTAAAAGGCATGATGGGCATCTGTGGTCAAGTGTCAACTGATATCCTCAATTAACATTCCATCGACATCTCGATTGACACTAGATTAACACTCTATGTATGTGTAGTCAATAGTCTGAAAAATACTTCACCAGCTAGTGAGAAATTATCTGTCGTGATTTCATGATAATTAATTGAGTTAACATCACTTACCAACTCCTGGCTCTGAGAGTCTTCAACTATAAAGTCATCCAGATCTGATCCTAAATCTTCTTCCTCTTCCTCTACCTCTCCTTGATCTCTTTCAATAGTATCATCTATTAAGTTGTTTTTGAAAAACTGCAGAAGAGAGAATTTAAAACATCTTCAAATTGTTGGACCAGTGATTGCTGTTAAGCTGCAGTATTAATTTTTGGAAACGTTTCAGAAATATGAGCATGTGTTAGAAAAATTTTGCTGTTTTTTTCTAAGAAAAATTCAAGTGAGTTGAAGGGTAATGGGCAGTTCTGTTAGTGCTGCATAATTTTATTTCTCAGCACTTGGGACACAAAATACATTCTTTCCTGGCGTAGTTTTATTTTAATAATCTATTTACCTAAGACATTAATAATAGAGAGATATTATAGAGAGAAATACTCCCTTTAGGTCATAAAACTGCAGGATCATTTGTTGAAAAACTTTCACCTCAAATATTGGTCAGATGAGCTCATAACTGTAGCTGTAAGTACCTTGGGTGACACAGAGCCTTCGTTATCATAGTCATCATCTGAAGATGTTTTTCCTGAAAGTCCTCCAGCTTGCCTTTCTCTTTTTTTTCTCAGTGCTTCCAGAGCTTTCTCCCACTTCGCCTTTTTAGCACTGGCTGTGCCATAGAATTCTGGTGACAATACATTTCCACGTGTGCTACAGAATTAAAAGGTTATTCATGAGACTATGTTTGTGGTTTCAATTGCAATATTTTTGTCTAAATGGGCATAGCAGTGGCACCTGGGTGGGACCAGAGGAAACCAAAAAACTTTATCTGTGCAAATCCTGCAGGGCCATTATACTCTTTTTCCACATCATAAATTATCCCGTATTTTAGTGACAGACTTTTTGCATTTTGCATTCACAACTGTAGAGCTGCATGCACAATCAAACTAAAATGCAAGTTTTATTGCTAGTAATTAAACCAAGTGATCCAAATTCAGTTATATGAGCAAATGTACAGTGTATAATAACATTATCCACTATAATTATTTATTTTATCCTTTATAACTTAAAAAAAAAAATTAATCAGTGATTCCTTTTGTCTGACTTGTAAGGTAATCACTAACCTCTTCCTTCTTGATCTCTTCGTTTGTAAGCCGGAATGTTCTGTTCCATCATTGTCTGAGTCTGACTCACTGGTGCTACGTTCTCCATCTGAATCACTAATGTCAGTGATTTCAGCATTCCTGTGCAAGATAGGGTAGAATTGTTTAGTTGCTTTTTAAGTGCACACTTGCAAGCTGTTTATTCATGCGTACCAACATATTCAAGCAGATATACTCACTCATCTTCTGCTTCGGTTTTTCCTAAAGCTTCATCTAGATTTTTCCTAACAGCTGTAGCACGTCCTTTTAATGCATCGAATCCTGGTGTGCTAAAGAACATTGAAGAAAATGACTAAGAAAACCTGAACAGCGTCGTTATACTTTTATCTCTATTGTACTGGCCTGCTAGCAACCCGTTCGCCCTAATCATTAAAATCACTGAGATCGGACTAAGGACAAAGGAAATGGCTTTTAGGAGACTCGTTTTGTATTGATCCAAATTCAATTGTCTATCGGATTTACTTCACTTCCAGGTCAGCGACGTAATCGCGGAACGTTTAAGTTTTGTGTCTTCCCGAACTTAATTCAGTTAAGTTTAATTTAAACGGCCGATTAAAATGTTCTGTACATATATGGGTGATAAAATCCTGAACGTCTGTGCGCAGCTAAATCGAACATTCGAATTCGAATTCGCCGCGGGACTGACCGATTGAAATCATATGCCCATAAAGCATATAAAAGGCGGTAGCCAAAAGCATTTCAGCTGTCTCATTATACATTTCATTGTCGTTTATTACTTACACACCAACGGATTCCTCTCCACTGTCTTCGCTGTCCGAACTGTACAATAAGTGCGTTTTCCTCTTCGAAGAGCTACGCACCACTTCAGGACCGCTCGTTACATTCTCAACCGAATCAGTGATCAAAGTTTTTCGACAAAAAATAGTCAACAGTCTTCAATGATTTTCAGGTCAGTGTTCCAATGCAGCTGTTTGCTTCCTGTGAAGTCTTCAATTTTACTCACCGATCGATTTTGTCGATTTCGTCTTCATCATCTGAGTTAATTCTTCGCTGACGTTTCCTCGTCGAAGAAGGCTTCATTTTGTAGATGTCAGGATTTTCATCGTCCTTTGATTTTTCCAGACAGAAGTCTGATCGACTAAGCTCTTCATCCAAATCTTTACTCTTGCTGTGAGAATCATTAGGAGTACAAGGGGTTTCTGTGGCCATCGTTCTGCTTTCAGATTTGGCTTCGTATGGTTTGTTGCAAATCGCTGACGGTTATTACATTAAAGAAGTTGAAAAAAGGCGGGAAAGCTTCAGTACTTTTCCGCCTTTTGCTCAACCTGAGGACGAGGCTCACTTGATTCGAATCCAGTCCTTTAACGTGCGATCCAAGATGGCGGCCTTGGTAAGTTTATTTTCGCACGCAAGATATCCACTATGCAGGCTTTCTAGCTTAAAATTTCAAGACAGGGCGCCCGAATTTAATATAAACGATTCCTTGTGGCCTTACTAAACAGTATTGCTATGAAGACCAGCTAATGTTCTGACCTTATTTTGAACCTAAACTGAAGTTTTTGTCTCACTGAAAGTGAAGTTTTTCAGTTAGTCCTTATTGACCTTATTGTAAAAGATTTCTTTAAAAACCAGGTTAAGGGTAACTTTTAATTTTTGCAGCCTCCAATTGTTAATGTACTTTATCCTAAATGGCAGTAACGAAACTCTGCAGTCTCATCAACTCTGCCATCAGTCAGTCTCACTTGTACCCCTCAACTCAGGCTAGAATAAGTGTCCCCCTACAATATCTTTAAGAAAGAGTACAAATTCCACCTTCTGAATAATCAAACTTGATTTTGCTACTGCTATGTTTTATTTTGCTGTTTTATTCTGTTGCTATATAAGTGTGAATGTAGTGTATGTCTGTTGTAATGTAGTGTATGTACATGTAGATCTAGCCATTTACTTGACCATGGTGGTGTCCAACCAGAAAGCTCTTGCTACTCTGGTCATTGCTCACATATGAATTTTATTTGTTAACGGCTTGATATTTCTAAATATTTTACTATTTTTATTACTTTACTATATGAAATGTGTGGAAGTGCCCTTTATAGTGTAAATAAAGAATTGAACTGAATTGAATTGAATTTCCGGTAAGAACATCAGTGACCCATTCAGCCATCTCATGTGGCACTTTTTCAATTCCTGCCATTTATAATTTCTTCAATTTCCTAAAACTTGTATGCTATGCTCTTTGACCTGCAAATCTATTTTTCTTTCCTTGTTTTTATTTGGCCAACTTTGATACAGTGTGTTTGTATGCAAGGCCATAACATGACAGGAAGACATTTTTTTCACTGGCCAAGCTCTTTTCCCTTTCCTCTTACAGTGGAACCTTGATTTAACGAACCTCTATATAACAAAGTCCTCTGTATAACAAACAATATTGTTTACCCAATAGTAGTGAAATATATGGAAAAGAACCTCAATACAACAAAACCTCATTGTAGCGAACATATTTTGCCAGTCCCCTGGCCCTTCATCAAATCGAGGTTCCACTGTTCATGTATCTGGTACTCGGTTATAAGCCAACATTTGAGAGGGGAGTGGGGTGTATCATAAGGTGTGTTAACAAAATGTGGTGAAGCGTATAGTTCTTTGACCATGCTCAACTCACAATTTCTTGATGATCCTAGAAAAGTGAACAAGTTTAATAATCCTACCAGCTACAGCAGGGCTGTCATTAAGGGCCGTAACTCGTAACAACTGTTACGAGCTGAGTATGCTTGATTTTCCCTTGATGTTACAGGTGAGATTGCCTGTTGTTGATTGGGTTCAACCACAAAGTAACAAGTTTGCTACGGGTGTGGAGAACAAGGCTACCAGTGACTCAAAACATATTGGCAGCCCTGTACATTACTAGTCTAATAAAATAGTAAGATTTCATCAGATTATCAGATGTATGAATTGAATCACCTCAAGATTTCACCACAAAGACTGCATCATTTTATTTATACTCAACTTAAGGTTTTAAGATGCCAGTATAAAGGAGGAAGGCGGAACAACCTTGAAGGGCTTTCTGGCACCTCCACCATTGCCGACCTACAAGAAAAGATATGGTTGATGACCGATGTTCCACCCCATGCACAGAGAAGTAAGCTTAATTAGTTAACAAAAATGCTTGCCAGGAAAAAAATACAGTCGACAAATTATGTTGTTTCCAAATGTTGGGCAGCCTGGAGTCAAAAGTCAATGACCAAGCAGTTATATTAAGTGCGAATGTTAGTTGCTGTTATGTGTTTTTCAGACTTATAAGCTGACAGTTTTTCATAATTTTGATAATTTTAAGTTCTTTCAGGATTTCCACCGAAGCAGCTGATCTGCCAAGATAAAGGTAGCTCATTATCGTCACTGGACATTCGATCAGGGGACACTCTTATCATTGAGGAAGACAAAAAAGCACCCAAAGTATTACTTGATGGTTACAAGAAATCTCTGAGCAGTGCAGCACTTGGCAAGATAACAAGGAGGTAAGTTTATGACAAAGAGGCTTGGCATTATTGCCTTGCTTAGTTCCCCACGGAAGAGATTTTTTTATAAGACCCCAACCCCTGGAAACTCCAATAATTATTATTATAAGCTTCATACATTGACAAACTGCATTAGTGGCCCTCAGTCCTAAAAAATTATTCAACACCTCTTTCTTTCTCATGCCTCACTGTAACACTTGTAAGGCACCCTATTAGTGGAAATAATTTGTGATTTTTTGCCATTGTTGCAAATCAGAGTTGTCCCTGCTGATAATTCCTGTCTTTTTGCAAGTGTAAGGTTAGTATGTCAGTATAATTCAGTAATTTACAAACATTTCATTCATTATTTGAGGGTTTAATTGTTCTACAAATTTTCACTTCAACATTATTTCTACAGGCTAGAGCAGCAGTAAGATTATTACTTGTTGCTAGTTTCAAAAAAAGTGCAACCTCCTATTGTTATCCTCAAATTCAAAGAGTGATTTTAAATAATTTTACAGGCCAACAATTTAGAGAAATCAACAAGAAAGACTTCTTTGAAAAGAGATGAGTACTCACCCCAATATAATTATTTGATGTAAGGGACTGTACATGTATCATTAAATTGTAAAGTTGTAAATTTTGTAAGTAGCCATACCAGTGTTGTAAGTATAGTGCTAAGTAGCGTGAATGGCAATCAAAATGTAAAAAACAAATAGAGCAGCAGTACTGATAACTTTCTGTCAATCTCTTACAGTTATGTTATGCTTGGTGACACATCGTGCACTGCAGAGTTAAGAAAGCTCATAGCACGGTGTGTTTCAAGTGATCCTCAAACTTATAACAATGTGTTTCTGGGCCGTGCTAACTCAGATTACTGCAACTGGATACTGGATAAAGAAAACTGGGGAGGTAACACCGATGACAATAATAATTGTATCTATAACAACATTCTTGACTGTGATTGGTTCTCCGTGCACCTATTTGTCATGTAATAGGCAGGTGATCATGTGGGTTTCTGATTACAGGTATCTAATTACAACTTTTTGTAATTCAATACCTGTAATTAGATACCCTGAGATTTGCATGTCAACTAGTGTACCTCAATGGCTTCCTTCTTTAGGAATCATTAGAATGTTTCCTACAGTTTTTTAAAACTTATAGAAAGTGCAGCAGACTTTTTCACTGAAAAGAAGTTCTCCAAAGACTTTTTTCATTTTGAAATATGTTATGAATACAATTAATAATTTTAATTGGACCTTTTGTCGTACAATTAAGGGAGTAATCACGCTCCCAATTTGAAATCAGCCTCACGCTTTGCATTCATCTGATTTTGAAATTGCAAAAATTAATAAAAAAAAAAATAATGATGATAATGAAATAATAAATTTATCAATCGATCAATACAGGTCCAGCTTGCATTCATGTTTTAGAGCGGTCACTTTTCTTCCTTTTAAACTGTGAACATTCAATATATCACTTTTGTTATGATTTGCTTACCCAGGAGCAATAGAGTTGTCAATCCTCAGCAAGCATTACCAGACAGAAATTGCTGTTGTTGATATTGAGTCAGGAAGAGTGGATAGGTTTGGTAAGACTCAGTCACTTCTCTCACTTTATTAGACATGAAGATGTATTTTTCCCCAAAATATCCTATGTAACCCCCTCCCCCCTTTCCTTCCACCCATTTGGAAGTTCTAGTTTACCTTTCAAGCTGATGAATTTTACCATGGTTAAATAAAGTCTATCTGTCATCTTTCCTTTGAAATTTTTAACTTCTGAAAAACTTTCTCGATGTATGGGTGTTTTAGCGACAGAATTACCAGAGGTCTTGCTTCTTGGGTTGAGTATGGATATTTTCTGGAACTGCACATTTCTGCAGTAATTATTATAACAGTTTATTAGTATAGTTGGAATTTTAATCAGCTTTATGTATAAAGTAATTTCAAGGTGGCAATACGTGTATAAACAATAGCCTCCATTTGGTGCGAAAATATGTACGGATATTTGTCCGCAGACATTACCTGTTTTGAGAAGAGAGCAGTTTTCCAAGAGCATAGCTCAAGGAAAACTGTGAGCTTTGAGGAACAGATAACGTCCAAGGACAAATATGCAAGCATATTTCTGCACCAAATGGAAGCTATTGTGTTTATTACCCTTCAGACATTTTTCGCAACACATGCAGTTTTAAAAATTGGGGAATATCACTTGGGTGTTCCCCAGTTTTAGCTTTAGAATATTAAGTCACGTGATGCATTTAGACCAATCGTGCATGAGCAAAAATATGTGATGGATTAAAAATGGGATTATTTTTGTGCATTAGAGGAGAACTTATTTTCCAAAGGAGCAAGATTTCATTCTTTGGGAACACCAATATGGCCTCCATGACTACATGGGAACCTAAACCAACTCAAATTTGAGTTTAAAAAGTATCAAATTCATCCAAGCAAAGCCACACCCCATAGCTACTGGATGCAGACTTCTATCTCCATCTTGAAGTGAGCCCTAATTGGTCTTCAGTGCCAATTTGACCCTCTTAATTTTTTAAAGATACATCTTCAATGTAATAATTGTGGTTATGTTCACCATTTTGGCAAAAGGTTCTACGAGCTTAATGTAGTGAGAGTGTTAGTGTAGGAAAAGGCATAATCGGTGGGGTTTTCATTAAATTTACTAACTTACTTACAGTTAATTTTGTCATTAGAGCTGCTTTTATTTGCAGGAGAGGGTAGCGGCTACAGTAGCTGTGTATATCTGATATATGATGGCATCCATTATGATCCTCTGGCTGTACAAAGCTCTGATAATTCAGCACTGCCGCTACAGACTGTGTTTCCTGTTGACGATGACATGCGACTGGCGGAAGCTCTTGAAATAGCTGCAGATGCCAATCAGGTTAGACTTCTAATAGCCTCGGCCAGTTATTACAAATTCAGAGTGAATTTCAAGTGACAAACCAGCTTAGAGTAATTTTATACTTGCTATGATTTTACAATGGGGCGTTGTAAATTCAAAGAAGGTTACAACATGTTCTGAGACTGACCAATCGGAGTTAACATGTTTCTTGTTAGCCAATCAGGTGCAGAAATAGAGCCAGCACGTGGATATTCCCGCGTTTGGCACTGGTTATGCGTTCCCCCGCGCCCCTGCGCTCGCTAACGGCTGAACATTTTCCTGCGCTCATCACCAGCCACGCGTTTTCCCGTGCTAATTTTCCCGCGTTTGAAACCTCAAGATTTGATTGGTGTAGATTCATGTGCATTGATTAACTCTGTGATTACTTGATTGGTTGATGTTTCAAGACCGTAAATTATTCGCATCAGCTACATTTCTATTCTAATCTCTAACTTTTCTATTCTAGAAACGTCACTTCACAAACCTGTCGCAGTTCACTATCCGCTGTCTCGTTTGCGGCACACCGCTGACCGGACAGCAAGCGGCTCAAGATCATGCCATTTCGACTGGTCACACAAATTTTGGCGAAGTATGAAGTGTGAACTGACGCCATTGGTTGTGAACTCTGGCCGGCGTTCGTCTTATGGAAGGCGTGTGATGGGTTGTAAGGCTGGGACAAGTGTATACTTTCGTGTACTGAAATGCAAAGATATCTAGCAGAATGGTGACAGAAGTCAAGTATCTGCCGACATATTCACAAATTACAGTGATTGGCGTGTCTTTGTGCTATTGCCAGCGTAGCTGCTCGCGTTTGCTGCCCCGCGCGGGAGCTAAAGAAATCAATTTGCGGGCGATATCCTGCCAGCCACGCAGGCTGAGCGTGCTACTGAAACTACGAGCGAACGCGAAATGAACGCAGGCCTCAGAGTGACGAGCAATTTGATGTCAAGCTCGTTAAACAATTACGAAGAGAGGGACAACCAGTACTCATTATAGAATTTGTACTCTAACTTACGAAGTGCCGTAAGTTTGGCTGAAGAAACTAACTAAAATTGAAAGTATTTATTGTTATATGAAAAACAAAAGTAGTGTTCCATATATTTTCTGCTGGTAAACTGCGATTGATTAATTAAATTGGAGAGTCTATTTTGCTTACAATTAAATGTATAGTCATAGCCTGTTTACTGTACACTCCATTCAGTTAAAAAAAAACTTGCACCTTAAAAGTGTTCTTTTCTGGGTGGATGCCCACCTTATATTTTCGTAGAAAACGCTTTTTGCGGCAAGAATTATCATGGTTTTGTCTTTACCTATGCTTGAGAACCTGTTAAGCCTATATTCAGGGCGAGACGAAGTAAACTAAACAACAAGTTCAGTTTACTTCTAGTTTACTTTAGCGCATGCGATGAGTTATAACGCCTGGATTACCAGCTCCTAAGTTTCCAAAGCTCCTTTCCACACCAGCTGGTGCTCAATTTCCCTGAGAATCTCAGCCGAAGATGGATGAGAAGAACTGCACGGAATTAGCCAATGTGACAACAGGTTTACTTGCTCCGGTTCTTCTCGTCTCTCTGTATGTGGTCAGCACGGTCGTGACTAAATGAATCGATATTCCATCACAAGGTGACCCCATAGCGTCTAACGTGCAGACATGAGCAGAGTTTCTTGTAGTCACGACCATCAACAGAGCGAGGAAATTCGACCATGCCACACCCAGTGGAAGAAACTTAAACTGCTTGAAGTCCCATCAATCCTGTGGAATTCAGACTAGAGGGTCACAGACGACGGCTGCAAGCACATAGCAGTCTAAATTTTTTCCCAGTAACTATACGTTACACGTAGTACAAACTTGATTTATGTGTACCAATGTATTTGTTGTGCCTCTTTCCTGACTCTCACATTTTTAATTATTATAATTACGGTCACCCAACTAGTTTAGCTTTTTAGTTATTTTGGGTGTCCCACTACTGTATGTACTGTACTGATAGCATGCATTCGATTAATTGAAACCCCCATTTTTACTTAAAATTGTATGCGCCTTGTGGCGAAAAAGTTAACATGAATTTTGGTATTTTGACAAGACAGTGAACTTCATAGTCTTATTCAGTCTAAATTGGTGGTAAAGTGACTTGGTTTTCGTATCCTGCTAGTTCACAGGTACATGAGAAGGTCTGAACAGTGCCAAGCTTGAGATCATGCACCACCACCTACGAAACAAAAGTAAAGACCAAGATTAAAACAAAATTCTCCTTGTTGTCTTCGACACTTTTTTACGTTTCTCAGGATCGGGTGGCCCGGACCGTGGGAAATTGTGTTGTGTAGTTGGGAAAGATACTTTACTTTCACAGTGCCTCTCTCCACCCAGGTGTAAATGGGTACCGCCGAACTTATTGCCGGGGGTAACTCTGCGATGGACTAGCATCCCATCCGGGTGGGAAGTAGAAATACTCCTGGTCGCTTCTTGCTACAGAAGCCGGGTTAAGCTCCTGCCTGATGGGCCACCTGCAAAAAATTGAGCTGAACGAACTCACGTGAGCTTCGCAATATCTACCTACATCTACATTTAAGGTAATTCCTCTGAAATAAAAGTGACAATNTTAGTGTAGGAAAAGGCATAATCGGTGGGGTTTTCATTAAATTTACTAACTTACTTACAGTTAATTTTGTCATTAGAGCTGCTTTTATTTGCAGGAGAGGGTAGCGGCTACAGTAGCTGTGTATATCTGATATATGATGGCATCCATTATGATCCTCTGGCTGTACAAAGCTCTGATAATTCAGCAGTGCCGCTACAGACTGTGTTTCCTGTTGACGATGACATGCGACTGGCGGAAGCTCTTGAAATAGCTGCAGATGCCAAACAGGTTAGACTTCTAATAGCCTCGGCCAGTTATTACAAATTCAGGGTGAATTTCAAGTGACAAACCAGCTTAGAGTAATTTTATACTTGCTATAATTTTGCAATGGGGTGTTGTAAATTCAAAGAAGGTTACAACATGTTCTGAGACTGACCAATCGGAGTTAACATGTTTCTTGTTAGCCAGTCAGGTGCAGAAATAGAACCAGGACGTGGTTGTTCCCGTGTTTGGCACTGGTTACGCGTTCCCCGGCGCCCCTGCGCTCGCCAACGGCTGAACATTTTCCCGTGATCAGCACCAGCCACGCGTTTTCTCGCGTTTGAAACCTCAAGATTTGATTGGTGATTAGTGTAGATTCATGTGCAGTGATTAACTCTGTGATTACTTGATTGGTTATTTTTCAAGACCGTAAATTATTCGCATCAGCTACATTTCTATTCTAATCTCCAACTTTTCTGTTCCAGAAACGTCACTTCACAAACCTGTCGCAGTTCACTATCCGCTGTCTTGTTTGCGGCACACCGCTGACCGGGCAGCAAGCAGCCCGAGATCATGCCGTTTCGACTGGTCACACAAATTTTGGAGAAGTATGAAGTGTGACGCCATTGGTTGTGAACTCTGGCCGGCTTTCGTCTTATGGAAGGCGTGTGATAGGTTGAAAGGCTGGGACAAATGTATACTTTCGTGTACTGAAATGCAAAGATATCTAGCAGAATGTGACAGAAGTCAAGTATCGGCCGACGTATTCTTTTTCCTGCATCGCGCGGGGGCTAAATAAATCAATTCGCGCGCGATATCCTGCCAGCCACGCAGGCTGAGCGTGCTACTTAAACTGCGTGCGCACGAGAAATGAACGCAGTCCTCAGAGTGACGAGCAATTTGATGTCAAGCTCGTTAAACAATTACGAAGAAAGGGGCAACCATTACTCATTGAAGAATTTGTACTCTTACGAAGTGCCGTAAGTTTGGCTGAAGAAACTAACTGAAATTAATACTATTTATTTTTATATGAAAAACAAAAACAGTGTTCCATATATTTTCTACTGGTAAACTGCTATTGATTAATTAAATTGGAGAGTCTATTTTGCTTACAATGAAATGTGTACTCATAGACTGTTTACTGTACACTCCATTCAGTTAACAAAAAACTTGTACCTTAAAAGTGTTCGTTTCTGGGTGGATGAATCTGAGCCGAGGAGGGACGAGAAGAACTGCGCGGAATTAGCCAATGTGGTGACAGGATTACTTGCTCCAGTTTATGTCGTCTCTCTGTATGTGGCCAGCACGGTCGTGACTAGGTGAATCGATATTCCATCACAAGGTGACCCGATAGCGTCTGACGTGCAGACATAAGCAGAGTTTCTTGTAGTCACGACCATCAACAAACGCGAGGAAATTCGACCATGTCACACCCAGTCGAAGAAACAGTTCTGCATTCACATTAATCCTGTTGAATTCAGACTAGAGAGTCACAGACGACGACTGCAAGCACATAGCAGTCTAATTTTTGCCCCAGTAACTATATGTTATACGTAGTACAAACTTGATAGCATGCATTCGATTAATTGAAACTCCCATTTTTAACTACGCCTTGTGGCGAAAATGTTACAGCGAATTTTGATATTTTGACAAGACATTTAACTTCAGTCGTAAACAGTTTAAATTGGTGGTAAAGTGACTTGATTTTCGTATCCTGCTAGTTCACAGCTACATGAGAAGGTCTGGACAGTGCCAAGCTTGAGATCATGCACCACCACCTACGAAAGAAAAGTAAAGACGAAGATTAAAATCAAAATTCTCCTTACTGTCTTCAACACTTGTACATTTCTCTTGTACCCCTACGGAAAATTTAAGGTAGCTCTGAGCTTTGTGCAACCGGTTGCATCTTATCATGCTTACCACAATTCGATAATAAGAAATGGGGGTCTCCGAGCTCGTTTTTGAGTTATAAGCGCTTAAAGATAAAATTTAGGGTGTTTTTAACGGCTGTATTGTTGTTATGGTAACCTATTATATACTTTTTTTACCAATGATTTGGCATTTGTGTGATACATTATTGTAGCATCACTTGTTAAACAGTGGTAGTATTCATCCTTCAGTGTAACTGTTAGAAAAGTGCTAAAAACTGTTGCCAGCCTCCTTAGGTTGAAGGCTCAAAGACAAAAAGATGGGACGAAAAGAGGCGTGTTTTCGAGTGTGGCGGAGGGTGTAATATTTCGCACTGATTAGGCTCGAAGTTATTTATTTGATTGGGTACCTTGTCCAGATTCCAGTCTGGTAATATTCCTGTATTGTCGTGCTCAATTGTAATTCGATCCACTAGGCCAACAAACTTAGTCTTTATCAGGAACGAATCCACACTGAAAAAGAAAGAAAAAAAATCTTTTAAGATTAGAACCTCTTGATCGAGCTTTCGACATTTCGAGCCAAACACACTTGTCCTTGCAACGAAGGCATGAATTATAAGCCCTAAAGTCGACTTGCTTTCTAGAGCTACCCTCAGCATATAAAGGTGTTATTGAAAACAATCGAATGCAACAAGTGCTTCCAGCCGGGGGTGGGGGGGTACTCCTATAAAAAAAAGGACGGGATGCTCGTAGTACCTTTTAGGGGTTAAAAACGCGGCTTCGGTACTTCTTGGGGTGTTCAGTCTCAAAACGTCCACTGGAGATATTGTGTTTTTTAGAATTGGTACTTCTTAGTGGGGAAAAACATTTCAAGCCACGCCCACAAAACAGGGTCTTGGTACCTCTTAGGGGTCTTTTTAAATTTCCGACGAGCATCCCCGCCCTTTTTATAAGGGAGTCCCCCCTGGGGTTCCAGTGACCCATATGTTAGCGGCTTAATACTGCATCACCAGTGTGAAGTCTCTCCAGTTGACTGTCCATCAATCTGAACGGATCTCTTGAATAGGAACAGATTACTATTTTACACCTTAAACACAGAGAGAATTTAATGAATCATTAAATCTCACCGTCCTCTTGAAAATTCCTTGTCGTTGTGATTGGTGAGATGTAATTTTGCTGTGCTTTCTTCCAAGCCGTAAAGCATGCCGTAGATGTTGATATACACTCGGGATGTCGTTCCTGCTAGCTGCAAGTCAGCGGTGTACACGGTAATGTTAAAAAAGTTCTCTGCCAAAAACAAAACGATGTTGTGAAGATAACGAAAATCACAACTAACAAACCCATACCGTACGTTAGGTAACGAAGCCCTATTGTATTTGAGTGTAGACAGCGAAACGTAGGCTTTCAAAAACGCTGACCTTATTCACATCGCGTGCGCATGTGCAAGTGCTCACATCAGCTTATTCGAACATTTTTGTGTGAACTGCGAAAACGGTACTGGCCGGTAGTGTGGACGGAAAGCGTTTTCGGCCGAAAGGGCATCATCGAAAACGCATTAGTAAGGACGGGACCTTCTTTCCTGATCTTCCTTTTGGAACAGTTTTTTTTTTTTT